CAATGGGGGAGGTGAGTCCTGACCTAGCCCACGCGTTTCTCGCCGAGCGACCACGGTGTTCGTGTGGCAGCCCGGGCACGGCTCGGTTTGGTTGCTCACAGAGCGTCCGTGAGCACCCCGTTCCCATGCAGTGAGCTCCCGGGAAACACTCAAGCCCTCGGGCAGGCAATACAGATTCTGCTCAGTGCAGCCCAGTGACCAGCTTGTTCCTGTTGGCTGAAACTTTCCCAGTATTAGCACTGGAAGTCCTGCGTCCATCCCTCAGATGGTACAGTATCAAAACCAGAAGATTGACATTGGTACATTCTCCAGACCTTATTCAGATTTCACTAGTTTGTACACATGCTCGTGTGTGTATATACAAGTCTGTGCAGTTTTATCACAAGTGTAGATTCACGTAACCATCACTGCAGTCAAGACACAGAACTGTTACATCACTATCTTTATTTAAGAACTGACAGCCCCAGATTCTGGGAACCCCCTCAGTCCCAGGCCGGCTGGATGGTGGGTCACCCTATTTATAGCTGAACCCAGGTGGCGCTCCCCTCCATAGGCTCACTTTGGACCTCAGCCACAGTTTTGGATCTGCTTCAGAGGACCCCCGTTATGAAATAGACACATGGCGTGTATCAGTGTCCCTGCAGTAAATGGACTTAGTGCTGTCTGAGTCAGAATTCACTTCCTGTGGCCACCTGTTACAGGGGGGGTAGCAGTGCTAGTTGGGGATGCTGGAGTCATGTGGGGTGGCTCCGGAAAGCATTCCCTGTGTCCTTCCTTCCAGGGACCAGACAAGGCTCGCTCCCAGCTCCTGATCCTGGACCGTGGTTTCGACCCCAGTTCACCCGTGCTTCATGAATTGACTTTTCAGGCGATGAGTTACGACCTGCTGCCTATTGAAAATGATGTATACAAGTAAGCACACGGACCCGGGGTGACTGCAGCTTTGCAAGTGAGCCGAACACACCTCCTAGGAAGGGCAGGTGCATTGATACAGTCTTGCTAAGCTTGCAGTCTCTTCTGTGAGGTCCCAAGTTCCCAGTTGTACCACCAGCCAGAAACTCCCACCCCTTTTTGGGGAGAACAGGAACTTTAGATCTTTAGTTTGTAGCCTGCTTGGGTGTGTTAGTATGTTGACTTTTGTGTGTGACAGCTTATCTTATTCAGAATTGAAACTTCTTAACTATAGATCATGAAATATGTTGATAAAATATACCAACAGGAGTTACTTACTGAATTTCATTTGCAGTTTTCTTCATTATAAATAACATTTTTCTTGGTAGCAATCATCAGAAACTCAGTCTCTAAAACTTACTTTTCTTTTTATGGGAACAGACTATACTGTTGTCATGTTATTTGTTTTATAATATTAATCATAAAGATAGTGGTTTCAAAATGAAGGGCCCCAAAATATGACTGAATCTCAGCTTTCCCCCTTTTGGTACTTCTAATACTTGCTTTCCTTTAGACATTCATGATTTCACATGTGAAAATTTGCTGAGGGCTGGTTGCAGGCAGCTGCGGAGTGCTATTTAGGTCCCGCACATTTGAGATGGTATCCTGGTCCTTTCCCAGCAAAGAGCAAGTGCAGTCTCTGCCTTTCCCTTATAAGTGCCTCTGAACCCAGGTTCACGCCTGAACCAGGTGGCTCTGGTGAAGCACCTATCAGCTGAGCCTGGAGATTTTAAAACAGGACTTCAAGCCAGTTTGACACTGATTAGACCTTTGGGTATCTCCCTGCCCAAGAAATTGTTAGCCTTGTTAGATGCAGCAGACCTGACTCAGACAGTGACGCATCAGGTCATTCGGGTGAACATCAATCTGTTATAAAAGAGGGGGATGGATGAATTTTGTGGGACATCTCCCCTCTAGGTACGAGACAAGCGGCATCGGGGAGGCGCGAGTGAAGGAAGTGCTCCTGGACGAGGATGACGACCTCTGGATAGCGCTGCGCCACAAGCACATCGCGGAGGTGTCCCAGTAAGAGCCCCCAGGCCTCAGCCAGCCCCGCCCCTGCTCCAGGGCTCACCCCTCTGACCCGGGCGATCACAGTCGATGGTGCCCATTCTCAGGGCAACTTGAGCAGAGCTCACCAGTGGAGGAATTCATGCTTCAGCTTGGCCACATGCTAACCGGTGATGATGAGTGCCTTCTGTTATCTGAGCTCAGGCTACGCCGACTTCACGAAGTTAGAAAACCCATTCTGTGTTAGAATTGCTTTTAGAATTTTTAGAAAGCATTTGTAGCTCTCTCAGCAAAATGCTCTATAAACACTAAACACTTAAAGCCAGTTTGTTTCATTGAAAGATCCAGACTCCACTACACACAGTTTGAGTTTCTTTTATGTAGCTGATGTGTCCCCTTCCTCCCTGTTGTCATACCTAAAATTTCTGGGCAAGAGTTGATGTGCTGATCCATGTACTGAACCAGTACCTTGCTCTGAAAATGTTTCTAACACTGGAAAGTTTTTAATAAGACCTTTAAACTAGAGACAAGCCTGCTTTTGCAGAAGGACACATTCTGCTACATTGAGTTGGTGATAGCCTCAGGAAGTTCAAAAGGAAGAGAGAAGAAACTACAGCCTGGTCAGTTCTGTTGTTTAGAAAAGCGGTCTCCAAACTCTTTGGATCACTCAGCTTTAGAAAAATGTTAATTCCCATTTCCAGTATATAAGTTTATTTATGCATTAACCTTATGCTTTATTGTACCAATATGTTTATTTTACAGCATATACAAAAACATAAATTTGAAAAAGATAAGTAGCTGTTCTAGTATTTTCTTCTCTGTTCTCAAATCACCTTGTACATCCCGCTAGGGAGACCCCTGATCTAGAACATTAGGAAAATGATGTATCGCTGTCTCTCCTCTTAGAAAACCACTTTAAATGTGTAACTCCCGGAGCAGGAAAAGTCACCACGTGTTCCTAAAGGAAGGAGTATTCCTCCTGTAGCGCCCATACAGAGGCACTTGGTGCCGCCTTGAAGCTTAGCTGCCTCCTTCTCTCTTCCAGGGAAGTCACTCGTTCTCTGAAAGATTTTTCTTCTAGCAAGAGAATGAATACTGGAGAGAAGGTAAGCCTGTCCTCACGCTCCAGTGCCCTGTAGGTTAACCCTTGCTTTCTCCAGGGCACAGGGAGGATGCCTCCTCAGCACAGGACTAGTGAAAGGGGGCAGGGGACAGTCCTCTTTTCATCCGATAATTGTTTTGCTTTATTTTTGTATTCCAGATTGAGATCTGGAGCCCCCCCCCTTTTTTTTGTATTTGTAGAGAGCTGCTTTTTGTTACCCTGAGGAGTAATGTTTACTGTTTTGGATCATGATACACTTTAAGCCAGGAGAATTTATGGAACCTTTTTTGGCTCGTGGTAGAATTAGGATTCCCTTACTTACCTGGGCTTCTCCTTATCCTGATGTTTATCGGAGGGTTTACTCCTCTTAGTCAAGGGAAATGCAGCTCTGATTGTGTCACTCCCTTGCTTAAAACCTGGTGGTGACTTCCTCATCCCAGCAGAACCAAACCCCACCATGGACACGCCTTGCAGCGCCCAGGTCATCAGGCCCCATGGACTCTAGTCTCATCTCTGCCTCCTTCCTCCTTGCACCCTTGCTCAAGCCATGTTTGAATTCCTTGCCTGGCCCTTGCCTTGTCAGATCCCTGTCCCTTGGCTCAGGCATCGTTTTCTCTGGGAAACCAGGGAGGTGCCTCTGCTCTGTGCACCCACGCTGGTGATTCCTCCAAGAGTGCTGAGCCGCTCGGTTGTGATGGCTCCCCTGCTCGATGTCAGCTCCGTGAAGGCAGAGATTCTTTTTTGTTGTTTTCGTCCTTGTGTCTCCAGCACCTTAAAGTGCCTAGTATGTAGTAGTCATTCGATCAATTTTTGTCAGCTACGTGAGTGGGATTAGGTGGGTCACCCAATTAGAAAGTAAACAGACCCCTCCACCTGTCAGGGTGCAGATTCAAGCCTTTTCTCCCCTTCTGCCTACTTTCTACCGATCTACACACCTGCAGCCTTTCTGCTGGGCTGAAATGTGGACCTGATGCCAAGACCACTTGAGCTGAGTATGCAGAAAAGCGGTATATAGAGGAAAAATTGTTCTTCCCTGGCAAGAATTGTGCTCTCAATAACTTTCTAGTCCAGTAAATAAAATACAACTTTGCTAGACTTCAGAGTTCAGTTCCCCACCTGTGAGACAGTCATGGTATTTAAGTCAATCATTTTGGGGGGCCACAGACCTGGAAATCTAAACACAAGTGATCTTGTGTTTAACAGATGCGTTTCAGGGGTTATAGAGTGTGCACTCAGGATGTCCAGCGCTGGCCGTTGTCCTGTCCTGTGCCCCACTCACCTTAGCTCAGGCCACTGGGTGAGACCATATGCTTTCCTTTCCCTATAGACCACCATGCGGGACCTGTCCCAAATGCTGAAGAAAATGCCCCAGTACCAGAAAGAGCTCAGCAAGGTATGATGATCCAAAGTGATCAATTTGAACTGTGAGTATAAACAACTGCAAAAAAATCCTCAAAGCCCCACTGCGCTGGTCACTGAAATCCACAAATTTTGTCATCTCCAGTTTTTATTAGAAAAAAATGAATGGTTGGGAAGACGGCTTATTTCCTATGACTTTCTTTTCTCCTCTTCCTCTCTTTTCCTCCATATCCTTCCAGTTCCTCACCCCATGGGCCTCACCCCAGGGCTGCTTGAGTGTCCTCACGACATGGCAGCTGGCTTCCCCAGAGTGAGCGGCCCTAGAGAGGGAGCTCGGGGAAGTCACAGTGATCTGGGAGTCACGCGTCACGTCCTCCCACTATTCCTTAGAAGCAAGTCACCCAATCCAGCCCACGCTAAGGAGAGGGGGTTGAGCTCCACCTCCTGGGGGGACGAGTATCAGAATTTGTGAGCGTGTGTGAAACCATCCTACCACCCTCTCCCCGACACACACCACTCTCTCCGTGGTCGGGTATGTGAACCTGATTGGACGCATGTTTCATCTCCTTTATGAGGCTGGAGACGCCTTGGTGCCTAGCAGTAGTCAGTGCCCAGTAGATGCTGCGTGAGTCAGCAGGCGATCCCTTGACCACACACCCTCTGCTTCGTCCTAGTATTCGACCCACCTGCACCTGGCCGAGGACTGCATGAAGCATTACCAAGGCACTGTGGATAAACTGTGCCGCGTGGAACAGGTAGGGCCATTTCCTTCTCTTTCTGCCGGGCCCATTTCTTTGCCTAGCTGAATTGTAACTTCTGACCTTGACCATCCTGCAGAATCATAGGAAATAGAAATGAGAAAATCTGCTAGATGGTGTTGCCTCAGCCCTCTGGAGCCAGTTCCACAGTCAATGGTAGGGACTAGATTGGTCTGGAGTGCTGTGCCGTTTGGGTTTTGCATGTCTGACTTGTCAGAGGCTCCCTGGATTGGCAGAAAAGAGGTATGGAGCACTGAGCCCTCCCTTAATGGGGCTGGCTGAATTTTACCTCTTTTCCTCCTGCCACAGCCACTCCAGCTCAGAGACCTAGAGGCTGAAAGGGGACAGTGCAACCCAGGGTCAGCAGTGCACCCACCGCCTCCCGAGTCACAATTAGGATTGGAGCTCTGTCCCTGTCACTGATTTGTGTGTGTGCTTGCATCTCTCTGCTTTATGTTCCTTGTCTGCAAAGGGACGTAACAACGCCGCCACATTTTCCAGGAGTGCTGTGTGGTGTCACTAATCCTGGCGCTCCGGTCCTCGTGCGTGATAACATTACTCAGCTGCAGTCGGCTTTTAAGGGAAGAGAGGGCACTTGACAATTCTGAAACCTCAGTGCGAGGTCCCTTTTCACAGAAAAAAAAACAACTCGAGTTCTCAGCGTGTGGCTAAGACGTAAATCTCCTGGTCTGACGTGACAGGCTCAGCTTAGGTCTGTAAGATCAGCCCTGACTCATGGGCTGTCTTCTGCGGGGAAGCAGCCCTGCTGAAATCCATCCCTTTCACAGGTGATCTTCACGAACACAAGGTGTCTTCTCCAGAAGACCTTGACTGCCCAGGAAATAGCTTATCCCAAGATCAGTACAAGTGCAGTTGGGATTAGTCCTTGGAAGTTTAATTTTTTCGGAAGTTCTCAGTGATTGTTGAACTAGTTACATCAACTTTGAGGGAGTATGAGAGTCAGGTCCTGCTGAACAAATGTCTCTTGAGGCTGCACTGAGGGGTGAAAGGGCCTCGGAGAGGGGCACTGCCGTCCTCTGACCCAGGCCGGGAAGAGACCTGAACTTGAGATCATACTTGTTAGCCAGGGGCTCCTGGGATCTTGGGAGAAAAGGGGGAACCTTCTGGCAACCTCAGTAAGAGCTACAGAGAAAGTTGCAGCCGCTGGTCTCAGAACAAGAGCAAGTTTGCTAAGACCGATGTGCTGCTTCCTCAGGCCTGTCAGTAATGGATCCGCCTCTCGCCTGAGCCATGAAGGGGGCGGGGGTGCCGTAGACCATGCCCGCTCCACTCTTTCCCCTTCAGTCCCCCCTCTCTCCCTTCATCTCCCGCAGTGGGATTTGCAGGTTCGGAAGCCCATGTTTTTCTTCTCCTCTCCCTAAAAGTGATTGAATGATTAAAAGCAGAGGTTAAAAACCTCAAGTAATTAAAACTCAGCAAGCACAGCCTCCAGTGCCAGGGGAGCAGAGCAGAGAGTCCGGCCCAGCAGAGGCACCTTAAAGTGCCAAAGCTTTCCACGTGTGAGAAGCACATCCCTGTGAGCCCCGATCCCTCTGCAGGGCTTTGTACCCTTGAGGACCTGCTGGCATTGAGGCTGTTTGTGAAGAATTGGCACAGAAGTATCAGCACTCACCTGGAGAGAACAGCTTATCTTTAAATAAGGTGGCAAATCAATGTGGTATCTGTTTTTGGAAAGTGAATCTTGGGACTTGGCTCAGTTCTCACGGATGCTGTAGGCACCAGCGCTCATTACAGTGCATCGTGAGAGCACAGGTACCTGTTTCGGACCTTCCCCAGCCAAGCTCCAAATCCCAGGCATTTACGGACAACCGGTTTTCTAATAGTTACCATCTACCCAGACTGTCACCAGAAAAGGGGCCAACGTGATGTGTTTTGTGCAGGACCTGGCCATGGGCACGGATGCTGAGGGGGAGAAGATCAAGGACCCCATGAGAGCCATCGTCCCCATTCTGCTGGATGCCAACGTCAGCACTTACGACAAAATCCGCATCATCCTTCTCTACATCTTTCTGAAGAACGGTAGGAATGGTGGAATGCAGAGGACGGGATAGGCCCTTTGGAGGGGAACTGAGGCAGCTGAGAGAGAGAACAAAGTGGAAAACAGTGTAGAAGACAAGGCAAAGGGTGTTTAGTAAGAAGATCCTTCACTTCAGGAGAAATGTGATGTGGGCAGATCAGTCCCAAGTAGAGGCTGAGAATCTCCCAGTGAGTCTAGAGTTAATTGAAGGCTCGTGGTATTTCAAAGAGGATAGGGTGGGGACGGCAGGGAGAGCCTTTACAGCCAATTTATCAGCAGATCTGCCGGAAGCTTTTTACTTGCCTCACATTTGCAAACTATGCCTTTAAATCACTGATTTTTACCCACGTATAGTTGCCCATAAGTGTCCACTATGCAAAAGATAAGCCCAGGGACTCTCCTGTCCAAGTTGACTGCGATGTGCCAGGGGTGGCGGGGACTGCTGAGAAGCAGGGGACAGATGGAAACACAGGCTGTGAAGGGCAGTTGCTGACGGTCATAGCCCAGGATGGAGTGGCTGGAGTAGAACTGGGGTTCTGAGCTTGTCTGGTCTCACAGTCAAGTTGATGCGACGAGCAGGTTATAGCTTCCACCAGTTCCAAGGAGAAGGGGCACGGGCCCCACACACCCTTGGCTCTGCTTCTGAGTGTGTGACGTGCAGTGGTGGGCGCAGTGACTGGGGGTCTGTCCTCTCAGGCATCACCGAGGAGAACCTGAACAAGCTGATCCAGCACGCCCAGATCCCGCCAGAGGACAGCGAGATCATCACCAACATGGCGCACCTCGGGGTGCCCATCGTCACGGACGTGAGGGCCAGCCTGGGGGCGGGCGGGGCAGGAGGGAAGCAGCGGGTTTCCTCTCTTCTCCCCTAACTTACTTCAGGCAGCTTGTGATATACTCAGCATCGAGAAGGAGGAAACAGACCCAGTCAGAGGAATGTAGGCGTAGAGGCAGAAATAAAATCAAGGTGTAGCACCAGGAACCCAGACAGGCACACCAAGCAGCCACACACTCATTAAGCTGAGCCGTGTCTGTGAACCAGCCTAGAACAGGAGTCACACCCGCTTCGCCCTGCGGGTCTGGGGTCGGTCCAGCCCTGCCATGGTACACGCAGACTCAGCACCTTCCGTGAGGGTGAGAGGGTGTGACAGTGTCAGGCCGTCCTGCCACCTCTGAGTCTGCTGCGCTGGCGATGACTCAGGACCCAGTTGGGGCAGGTTGTGTGCAGGCGCCCCCAGCAGTGAGCTCTGGAAGAGGCCGGGCGGGGGTCTAGGACTCTCCCGAGCCCTCCTCTAGGAACCTCGCTGGTGGAAACCCCACTTCCTGCAGGGAGTCGGTTCACACCTCAGTGCTAATACAGCAGAGTTGTAGGGGCCCTCCTTCTGGAAGCCTAGAGTTAAAAGCTCTGTTCCAGAGACCTGTGACGGGGGGGTTGTTTGGTGTTTTGTTCACAAAGGGACCAAACGAGAATGGAGATGATTCATTCAGTGCATCCTGTGCTGTTGAAGCAAAAGCAAAGGATAAGTCATGCCAAAGCAGTATTTTTTACTATAGTTGACAGCAAACTATTTTTTAACTGCCTGTTTAAAAAAAAAAAAGGCATATGTTTGCCATTTTTCATGGCTTTAAAGAACCAAGTTTGCTCCAGATTCTTGGGCTGAAGCCCATGGGTCATATTCTGGACTTTTCCAGGAAAACCTCCCCACCTCTTAGTCTTTGACAGGGCTGACTCCCTGAAGGGAGTCCTGCGGGGAAGCCCAGGGGCCAGCGAGGCCGCCCAGGCCCCGACTCAGTCTCCTCTCATGTGTCTGCCTTCAGTCCACGCTGCGTCGTCGGAGCAAACCGGAGCGGAAAGAGCGCATCAGTGAGCAGACCTACCAGCTCTCCCGATGGACCCCGATCATCAAAGACATCATGGAGGTCAGCGCGGGCCTGGGGCTCTGCACCTGAGGCTTCCAGCCTCACCTGCCTCAGGTGGTGGTGACACCTGGGTTTTCTCTCTCTGGGGATTTGCGACCAGGCCTCAGAGGGTTTGTGAAGTGAGCGGTCCCAGGAGTCTGCCAGATGCAGGTCCCCTGGATCCGCATGATTTAGCCCTGTAGTAGAGACCCCTCGATGGTACCACATCCAAAGGAACCAAACACATCACAGCATCTGAAAGTCGTATGAGTAACAAGCTCCACACTGAGGGTGCAGCGGGGTGGAAGGGCCTTGGTAAAGTGACCGCAGCCTGCCCTCTCCTTCTCCTGCTGCTCCCCAACAAGCCCTCAGGTCAGCCAGGGACCCTGCCAAGCATGCTTCTGTTCAAACCCACCCCTTGCCTGGAATGTTCTCAGTCTCCTTCCCACCTCCTGAATTCTGCCTTCCTGCAAAGTCCCCATCTGGTCATACCGTCCCCATACTCTGACCCACCTGTCTGACCGCCCGGCACCACAGAGGCCTCCCTAGACTCCAGCATGTGTCAGGGATGCTCTTGACATGTGTGTGTGCTGCTTGCTGTGTTGGGTCATCTTTCTAGACCTTGGCCCTGTGCCCTCACCTGACCTGTCCTTTGGCACCATGCCTTGTGCATAGTAGGTGTTTTGTATCTGTGAATGTAAGGTAGCTCAATGGTGTCCCTTCCCTCCCTCCTTGTAGCTTAAAGAAACCCTGTGTAGAATCCTGCTCCACTGGAGCTTTGGGGTGAGACTTGGAGGTGATCTGTCCAACTCCTGCCCTCGACAGGTGGACAGGAATAGGGTCCAGAGAAGGGACCTGCCCGGGATCCTTTGTTAATTCATAGCAGTCCAGGTGTTCCCACTGAATTGTATGTTAAAATAAATGTATTTTAAATATATATAGTGAGTCAGCTTCCTATTTTTAAAACCCACAAACCAAAAGGATGGGTGAACATGAGACATCTAGAAGCCAGTTACGTTTCTTTGCTTGGCAGAATAGGCAAGCCAACCCCTCTGTCTCATTCCCTCCTTTGTTCTCTGCGCCCCTTTCCTCCCCTCCTCCCTAGTCCCCCAGGAGACATGTGTGGGCTTCACATGGTAGCTGTTAGGAGTGCAGACTTCTCAGCACCAGTGGGTGGATAGCTGGCTCCACCCACTAGATAATTAGGCCCTTGGAAAACCGAGGGTGTAAGGCCTTCTCTTGCCTGAGAGACTCTGTTTGTGCCTAGTCTTTACAAGACTGATGGCAAGTATCAGTTTATTGGGCAGAATGCGACGTTTATAGCCTCACATAGGATATAAAAGAGGAGAAAAAAGAACAAATTGAAAGAGAAGCAAGAAAAATTAATACAAGTTTTCCCAAAAAAAAACCTTCTCTTAAAGAGCAGACCTACAAACTTAGTATCAGTCGGCTATGGAGCATCTGGTCCTTGCTGAGCACAGCTGAAAGTACCCGGCATCCGGCAGCGGGCAGGGGAGCTCTGAGCTCTGGTGGTTGCAAACCTGGCCGTGGTTTTTGCTAAGTGGCTTGTTCTTGGAATTGTCTTCCCTTGGTTCTGTCAGCCCTTTCCAAACAGATGGCAGGTCTAACAGCTGTCTCTCTTTTCTCCAGGACACTATTGAAGACAAACTTGATACCAAGCACTACCCTTATATCTCAACCCGCTCCTCTGCCTCCTTTAGCACCACTGCTGTCAGGTAAGTGATAAAGCCCAGCAAACAAGAGGGGAGCCAGTGGGACCATGTCTGGCTGGATGGCGGCTACACGGTAGTCCTCTTGTGACACCGCATGATCCCTGAGAACCCACCCCCACCCCAACTCGTCACAGCCAGAGTGCAGGCCAGGTCCTTCCAGCGGCCGTGAGGCCCTTTACTCCCTGGCTTCTTGTTCCACCCTGGCTCACACCTCACTTCTCACTTCTCCCTTTTCTCATCCACTTCAGCCATATCAGCCTCCTTGCTCTTCCCTGAACATGCCAGGCTTACTTCTGCCTCAGGACCTTTGCACTTGCTTTTTCCCTTTGCCTGAAGTGATCTGTCCCTAGAAATATCTACATACCTACCTCTTATCTCCTCCAGGTCTTTAATCAAAAATTACCTTCTCCCATCCTTCCTAACTACCCTGCTTAAAATTACGGTTCATCAATGTTCCTAGCAGCATTATTCATATGAGCTCAAAAGTGGAAATGACTCAGGTGTCCATCAGCTGAAGAATGGATAAACAAAATATGGTATATTCATATAATGGAATATTATTCAGCCAAAGATAGGAATGGAATACTTATCCATGCTACGACGTGGATGAACCTTGAAAATATTATACTAAGTGAATGAAGCCAATCACTAAAGCCCACATATTGTTTGCTTCCATTTATATGAAATGTCCAGGGCAGGCAAGTTTGTAGAGACAGAAAGTAGATTGGTGGTTGCCAGGAGCTGGGGACAGAGGTGGGGAATGGGGAGCAACTGCTAATAGGTACAGAATTTATTTTGGGGACAATGAAAATAGTCTAAAATTGATTGTGGTGATGGTTCTCAATTCTGTGACTGTACTCAACACCATTGAATTGTATGGTTTAATTGAGTGAATTGTATGATACATGAATTATCTCTCCATAAAGGTGTCACAGAAAATAATGAGAACAATCACAGCCCCACCACCACTTCCTGTCTCCCTTCCCTGCTTTATTTTTCTCCATCCATTTACACCATCACTTAGTATTTGCCTTGTTTACTACCAGTCTCCCTGCCTAGAATGTCAGCCTCACGAGGGCAGGGATTTGTGTCTGTTTTATCCTCGGTGCCTAGAACAGAGCCTGACATGTAGCAGGCACTTGGTGTAGTCTGTTGTCACTTTTCATTCATTCATTAATTTTAGTAAGAAAGGGATGAGTAGGTCATCTGAATAAAGACACATTTCTCAGATGCATTCTTTTTTGGGGGGGTGGTAATTAGGTTTATTTATTTACTTACTTTTTTTTAGAGAAGGTACTGGGGACTGAACCCAGGACCTTGTGCATACTAAGCATGTGCTCTACCACTTTGAGCTACACCCTCCCCTTCAGGTGCATTCTTGATGGAAACAGATGGTGGAAATGTGGATGCCTTGGGTTTGCTAGGTTTTTGCCACGTACCTGCTGATGCCCAGACGTTTCTCACCTTAGAGATGTGAGCAGACAACAGTCCGTACTTCCATCTCCGGGTTCTCCAGTGCTGTTTTCCTGGCTGGCCATGATGCTTTGTGAATGTACTTTTGAAAGCTCTTCCTCTGGTTCATCTCCTTTTTGTGCTCATCCACAAGCCTCTCCTGCTGTGCTGTGAGGGTGACATCTCCACGTGCCAGTCCCTGGGACTCTGTACTATAAATGCAATTCTCCTCCAGACTCTCTTCTCTGCCTCCCTCGTCTGTGTGGCCTAGGTACCTCTCTGGCCCTGCTGTGATGTGCGGTTCCCAGGGTAACACTCTTCAGAACTTGCACCTTTGTCCCTCGACTCAGACTTTGCCCACCCATCTTCTCTCTCCACCTGCCTTCTGTCGTCACTCTCAGGCCTACGTGGCATCTAGCATTGTGCATCCCCTCTGATGCCAGCAGAGGCCAACTGTATATTGCCAATGTTAGAGTAAAACACAAAATCCCACGTAGGGCCGTAGCCAGGCTGACAATGGCAGACAAACAATTGATTGCACAGGCAAGAAAAGTGACTGTGAGATCGTCTGAGCTGGCCCAGACAGGTCCTGAGATTTGGGAAGTGACTTTACTGCTGTTGTAAGTCAGGAAGAGCCGTAAGATTCCACTCTCAGTGGGAGGGTATAGCTCAGTGGTAGAGTGCGTGCTTACCATGCACAAGGTCCTGGGTTCAATCCCTGGTATCTCTATTAAATAAATAAACAAACAAACAAACAAATAAATAAATAAAGCAAACCTAGTTACCCCCCAAAAATTTTTTTAAATTTCCACTCTCCAGGGCAGCCTTGCTCTCCTCATTTTGTTTTGATTTTTGTTTTGTTTTCCCCATTTTCTTAACCTGGAAGCAACTCATTCCTCATTGTTTCTGAGGACAAGGTAAAGATGCATTGAGGGAAGCCAGGGGCAGAGGGGACACCTAGGGAGCTGTCCCACCATTGAAATGGCTATTAGGAGGCAGCTCAGTGTCACCTCTTTCAGGAAGCCTTCACCAGTGATGCTTGATCAGGGCTAGACTGCCCTCCCGTGTGTGTACGCAGGATGGCGCTGAGCTCCTCCATCAGAGCACATGCAGACTCGCTTCCTTCTCCGCCCTCCCCGCGCTCCCCACCCCAATTAAACCGTGAGCTCTTGGTGGGCAAGAGCTGTATCTCACTCGAGCCGGCTCTTTGCTGCTGGGGTGGCCTGGCCCCAGTGTGGCACCCAGTGCACATTTGTCCAGTGAATCAGCCTGAAGACAGGCCCTAGACTCTGCCATCACTGCTGCAGACAAGCATGGGACATGTGCGATGTGGGGTGGGTGCCTGGACCAGCATCACCCAGGTGAAGCTGTTGAACGTCCACCTTTAAAGCTGACCTGAACCTGCCTGGTGCCTGCGTGTTTCTAAGAGAGTGACAGGGTCGCAGCATGGGCGCTCAGAGAGATTCTTCTCCCGGCAGCCAAAGCACTTGACAACTTGCGCTGCAGTTCAGTTCAGCCAGCACTTGCTAGGCGTCTGCTCTATTTTGGCCACTGGTGTACAGAACGAATGTGAATGACATAAATGCTATAAATGCAAACATCATTGTCTCTCTCTCTCCACCTCTCCCCTGCCCCAGCGCCCGCTATGGGCACTGGCATAAGAATAAGGCCCCCGGGGAGTACCGCAGCGGTCCCCGCCTCATCATCTTCATCCTGGGGGGCGTGAGCCTGAACGAGATGCGTTGTGCTTATGAGGTGACCCAGGCCAACGGCAAGTGGGAAGTGCTCATAGGTGAGTGGGCATGTTTTCTAGAGGGAAGGGGCTGCTTCACTGCACTTTGATTCCATTCCATGCTTTGGTGTTCCATTCTGTCTTGGGTTCCCCATTGCCCCTGCAGAACTTGGCCAGCTGACACTGAGGGGCGAAGGGTTCCTTCCTCATGTCTGCACTGTATCTCTTGACGGGAGGCAGCTCCCTATGGTGGGAACTACGTGATCACAGACTCCAGCAGGCCAGGCTCACATTCCTGCTCCACCACTGCCATGTGGTCACCCCTGAAGTGCCTCCCCTCCACGCTGTGATTCCCTTACCCAGCAAATGTGGTTAAGGACACCCACTTACAGCCTGAGCTAGGCCTGAGGGGGACCTGTCAGTTTCCTGGCCTCGGGCCTCACCTCTAGCAGGTGCTCAGTGAATGGAAGATGAACTTTCCCCCTCCTTCACCTGTCCGTTGGAGACGGACAGACAAGGCATGTGAGCAGATATTGCCCGAAACATACTGGCCTGATTGCTGGGCTCTGCTGAGGGTTTCCCTAACCAGTTCCCACCACTTCTAGGTCTATCGTATCCCTTCTGGTATTTTCTGCTAGTTTTCCAGAAGAAAGGAAGCAACCCATAGAGCTGACTTAATGCAGCAGGAGATTTTTCTCCTTTTTCACACCTGCAGGAATTTCCCCAGTTTCTAGGGCTGGAATAGGAAGAATGAGCTGAAACAAATCTTGCGTTCTCCAGATGCCTTCCTTTTGTCCCATCTCGCCCTTAACAAAATGGAGTTGCACCTGCCCAAGGTGCCTCTTGCTATTGATTGGCAAGAGGCGGTCAGCACATACTGCCCTGGCTGGGCCCTGCCCTTGCCCTTTATCTCAGTAAGATGTGTCCGTATTATGCCTCCACCTTGGGATGACCAAGTCACAGTGCCCCCCAAGCTCTGAGAGACCATGTTCTGCAGACCAGCCCACATGGCCGGCCATTCCTGGATGTATCAAGATGGACCTGGCACTGTCTTCACAACCTGCCTTCCAGATACCACCATTCAGTGGGGAGATCGGACACCCCCTGGCCCTCCCTACTCCCTGAAGCCTCCTCTGGTCACCATCTCTCCCTGTGTTTTTTTCCTCTTTGTTTACGAAGGCCCCTGTGACAGAGCTTCTGTGTTCCCCGCTTGCATACATGTTGCATGGGCGTGTTGGCTAATTCTCTGCTCAAACACAGCTTTTCTGGGCAGAAGCTGTCCCAGCCAGGCTTTGGTGTAAACCCCCTTTTCCACATTCGCCCCGACCTGAGGTTGCCTTTTGGGAGGTGGAGCCCCGGGGAGATAAGGCTGCCCGTGTGGATCGGTGGAAAGGCCTGGTGCAGATTGCTGACGTCCGCTGTGTGGCCTTGCCTGCCCTGTGCATGCCCGCCGTCCTCTCGGCCGTGTGCGCGTGCGCCACGTGTGCGCCGCGTGTGCGCGTGCGGCTTGCTCTCACACCTCATTGGCTGCATAAAACATAGGCCTAAGTTGGCATGTTCCTGTAACGTACCTTTGTTCAAGCAGTCAGCCGGCCTCTGTTCTCCCGCAGGTTCTACTCATATTCTCACTCCCACCAAATTTCTCATGGACCTGAGACACCCCGACTTCCGGGAGTCCTCTAGGGTATCTTTTGAGGATCAGGCTCCAACAATGGAGTGAGAGCCAAAGAAACAAAGTAAAAGCAGCTTATTACAGAAAAGAAACTCTTCTACTCTGAAGGGTTTTCTTTGATTATTCCGTCACTCTTTTTCTTTATTTTTCCCTTTTTTAATTTATTATTTATTTGATTTTCTTTTAACGAGAAAATGCTTGCAGTTCTTAACACCGATTGAAAATGTGTCCGATGCTGCCCTCACCAACCCTGCCCCGAGAGCCGCTGGGCTCCAGCTTGCCAGCTTGCTCATGCCTTGGGTTACCTGCTGCTCAGTCAGACTGGGCTTTAAACCAGAAACGATAGTAACTGCTGTGGACAGTCCTCCTAGGAGCTGGGCGTGGAGGGGTGCCACAGGCACGGCGCCCAAGCCTGCTGGCCCCAGGGCCAATGTGGGCGCCAGGCAGAGAACACAGAGCCCCCTCGTTGTGATGTTGGAACTTGAGAGTGAGACCAGCAGGTGTTCAGGGGACGGTCCTGTCCAAGAAGACAGAACTCCAGTGGACGTGCCTGTGAGCACCTGATCATGAGGAAGGCTTGGCAGAGGGTGTCAGAACAGACTCCCAGTCACCGGGAGTTGGACGTGTAAATACCTTTTTCCCAGGACAGGCGCTTATCCCGAGGAGCAATTTCTAAGGGGTGATGAGATGATAAGCCACTTATCCGTGGTGAGCTGCAGCCATCAGTGGAGAGTCGTGTCTCCTGTTCCTCCAGGGAAACCGGCACTTCATAGTCATTTGCTCTTGAGTAATTGCTTTTATTTTAATTATCCTGTGAATCCTTTTCAGGAGTTAAGAATCATACCCCTCTCTCCCATTGGATTCTCTTGGTCAGATCGAGAGCCTCTGGGTAGAGATCTGTTCTCAACACTGTGTGCTGTTCTAAAGAACGTCTTTTCCTCCACACTTGTGCCTTTGTCTCAGTTCCCAGGAACCCATTGTTGGTTTGGCAGATTGTCCAGGTTTTATTCTTGTCCTCGTTTCCTTCCTCTCTCTTTCCACCCTTCCTATGAGCTGGGAACTTCCTATGATGTGTTCAGGTGGCAGGCTGACACTGAAGACCTCACTGTAGCATTAATCATCCCTTAGCTTCATTGCAGTCAGTGATGAGGCCGTGTTTTGTGTACCTGACTTCATCTGCTCTGTTGATGACGGACCCTGAAAATACCACACCCCCGCTCCGGGCTGAGACGTGCCCAGTGAGTTAGGAGCATGAGTTGCCTGTGAGTGCGCAGTGGACAGACCTGGACCCCAGCCCCAGCTCTGCCACAAGCACTGGGGTGACCGTGGGAGGTCATTCCCACTGGACACAGGACACAGAACGTGAGGCAGCTAAATCTCAGGGCTCCAAGGCTCCTCTAGGCTCTGACCATCTGCAATGCAGTAATTTGGTGGTGGCTCAAACCAGGCAGCCCTGCCCACTCGCACACTTTCTGGTGACCCTCAGAGCCGTGGACATCAGAGCCCTGGCTAGGTAACATCAGAAGTGTGCTTGTTTATTTAAAGAGAATGTGCTCCATCCACGAAGGACTTGCTCTAAAGGTCGGAGCCGGAGGCTGCACTGTTTATCTCCTCCTCTTTCTGACCCTTGGCTGAGAGATGGCTGCCCGCGGCAGGAGGGTGGAGAGAGGCAGCAAGTGGCTGTGAGCCAGGACGTGGGGCTGGCCATGGCCCTGGCATCCTGCCCAGACTGCCTCCCCCTAGAAAGCGAGGCCACTGGGTGATGAGTAAAAGCAACTATTGAAAACCAACCATTACTTAGAAGCACCTTAGAAGGCTGGTAATCAGAGACATCTGGTTCTGGTACAGACAGCTGGTGCAGGCGGCAGGTAGGTGGACGGCCTCTGATGCAAGTTGTATTTTGAGACTTGAAGGACAGATGTTCAGGCGAGGCTGCAGCAGTGGCAGACCACTGGCAGAGCCTGAAAGAATCACAGACCCAGACCCCCAGGACTCCTGCTGGGATTCCTTCTGGGATTCCCTGTGTCACAAGAAGCCTCTCCTTTGTTTTATGTCCAGTCGGCACAGAGGTCTCGGCTGTCATCAGAGCAGAGAGAGCACGAACAGACTCTGGTTGTATGTTCTTGGCTTCTGAGGTGCTTTGCTGGGCAGTGTTGGATTTTAGAGAGTTCAGTTAAGAAAAAGTGAGGCATGAAGCCCTCACACCAGGGAGGTCAGAAAGCAGATGGCTCTGACTTGCCTGCTTCCACTGTGATTGCCCAGGTGACCAAAGCCTCGGACATTGCTGGGCGTTAGAGGGGCAGGCGGTCTCCTGCCACCATCAGTGTTTGCAGTCACTTAGCTTTAAGAGATGAGTTCTTCCTGCGTGGCAGTGAATGAGTGTCCCTAGCAGGCGCCGTGCGTGGGTGCTGGTGCCACACTCTGTCCGTCTACCTCCTGTCTCTCCCGGAGCTGAGGCCGGCTCCCCAGGTCTGGGCTAAAGGGGGCAGGCGTGGAGAACTGAAGTGCACAGTTACCACCAAGCCTCCTCGCAATCCTGCTAATCAATCCTCCAAACTGTCTAAGAAATGCAGCCTTTTGATTAGATCTTCACCTCGTTGCTCTGGGGGAATGTCCAGGAGGCTGCTGGCAGCTAATGAAAGGGGGCTGGAAGGCTGGTTTTGACCATAATAGGCATTTAACATAGGGGAGTAAGTTTTTGCTTTTAATGTTGAATATTTTGCTTTATTCTAGATCAGGGTCAGATCAGCTTCGTTTTTCAGTGGGACTCAGGTTTGGATCTGAATTCAGACCAGCCTGTTGCCCGGCCACTATTTCAGCCTTCCCTTGCACCTCCTCTCCCAGGTCAGGAGACCATGAGATGCCTAGACTTGAGGGCAGTGGCGTGGCTTCTGGGCCTGGCTGTGCCACCAACCTGCTGCAAGCCAGTGGCCCACTGCCCTGGGTGTCTCTCTCCCATCTGTAGGATGTGGGTGGGAAAGACCACTGTCTTGCAAACCTGGCAAGTCATCAGACTCACCTGGGTTGCTCTTAAATATACAGTTTAAATCTACCATTCCCTGGTGCCACCCTGAATATTCTGAGTCAGCAGGTCTGTTTCAGCCAAGTCCAGGAGCAGCCAGACCAGCTGATTGGTAAGAACTCTTCTGGTTTTCAGATCCCATCAGTGAGGAAGGAAGGACTGTGTCCTGGTGGAGCTCACTGTGTCTGGCCCTCAAGTTCGACAGTCTTTGAATGACTTTGTTTTGGAGACCACTGTTCACATTTCAGTCTCTCAGTCATGTAGAGTAAGAGGGACCCTCAGAGCAGTGGACCCCACTTGCCATTCTAGAGGGTCTACATGGTCAGCCACCTGTGGGTTCAAAGTGAGAACATTGCAAAATGTGGATTACGGACTTACCCTGCTCAGTATGCAATGTTTGTGGTTTTAAAGCCCTGCAGATGATTGTGTGGCAAGAACTGGCTCCCAGGGGATTCAGATTAACACCCGCTGGTCTGCACCCTTTAAAGAGACCAGGTGGTTAGGGCCCAGGAACAGCATCCCTGGGGCAGGGGCCCTAGCGGCCCCACTGATTGCCGGATACTTAGTCCTGGACGTTTTCTGGGGACACCAGATGGTCAGCGATCAGGTAATATCAGAAAGTTCTAAAGTGTGAATTCCATCACCTCTTTTTGCCTTCCCCCCACCCCTGAATCTGCATGTCAGCAAGGGTAGGATGGGATGGGCATCTGATCAGAGGCCTTTTGATTTTCCTCTAAATCAAGTCTGCCCTCTTGTTTCCTGGCGGATGGCTGCGGGGAGGATGTTAGGGACCGTTGGCACGTGCGTGGTTGTTGCCTTAACCTAGGAAGCCCCCGAGCTATGCCCTGGGTGGAGTTGCCAGCAGCTGTCATTCAGGTGTAGACCCTCAGACTGCATCAAGTTGACATTCAGAAGGCCTTCATTCTGGCAATGCTTCTGTTCAGAATTTAGTAATGTTTGTTCCTGTTTCCTCATTTTGTGGAGCAGCTTTTGACCTTTAGGATTAGTAGGAAGATTGGTAAGGTTACAGATATGAGAGTCCTTAGGGGAGGCTGGGTGGTATAAAAACACTCAGGGACACGCTGCTGAAACCCGTGTCTGCAGACTCTCAGGTCTGCAGAGTAATGAGTCAGCTTTGGGCGCAGGGGCTAGTGCCCACTCAGGGCATCACACTGGGCACCTCTGGAAAGTAGCCGGGGATGGTTCCTCACTCAGGGCAGTGACTGGGTGGCTGGGGCTTGAAATGCAGGGAACAGGATGTTGAGAAGCCTCTCACACCAGAGAGGGCTTCACCAGTGTTCTCCTGGTCTGGACTGACCAGGAAGGCTCCAGGCCCACAGTGCCAGCAGTCACGGGTCAGCTGAGCAAGTAGGGACCCTGGTATTTGGAATCATTCCCAACAAACCAGCCAAAGCCTTCTTTTGCCTGCCCTCAGGGTGGGAATATGGCGTCCTGGGGTTTCTGGTCCCCTCCTCCCACGAAGGCCCACTCCCTTGCCCGCATCTCCAGGGAGGCACATTTTCAAGTACGGATCTCTTTTGTTCAGTTCTTCTTTCCCACCGGGATCTCTTTCTTTGAAGCCCACTGCTGCATGCGTGCAGGCCTCATGCTCACACGCCAGTCACCTCTGTTCTGTTTGAGTAAGTCCATGTCCAAACCACACGATCCATGCATCTTTTTTTACTGCACTTATTAGATCTCTCTCTCTCTCCTTATGAAAAAGGACTTCATTTATTTTTATTTTTAATTTTTGCAGTAAAATTATATCTAATTCCATTAGCTTAAAATTTTGCAAGCATTTCTAATCTCTTACAATGGGCGGTCTCTACAAGGTAAGGCCTCAGGTACCCCAGCCCTTTCCCCTTCACACCTGAGGTCCCTCCCACCATGGCAGGACCAAACAGCTGGCTCCCAGAGGTCAGTGGCTTCCCCAGGATGCTCTGTCCATCCACTCCCTCCCTACCTATACCATCTTTCCACACACAGTCCCCCTGGCTAATCCCTGTCCCATTCCCAACCTCCTTCCTCCCTTGCCATTTGGTTTGGAATTTCTCTCCCTGGCTTCTCGAGTCCAGAAGAGAATTAGAAGCACCATTCCTGTCCCCTGGCCGACAACACTGAGCCCGGTTGGAGAGGCGGGCTCCTTCCTTGTACAGCCCTGGACCCTGCCTGAGCCAGAGAATGTGTTCTGTTTATCCATAGCCCCCAAATGTCTCCCAGGCCTACTGTGACATAGCCCCCAAACCCTGTCCCCAACCCCTTCCCTGCTTCCACTAGACCAAAGCCAGGGTTGGGGCGGGGGGAGGACGCAGACATGGGAACTTGAAGGGCAGGAAAGGAAAGTGTTCAAAACCAGAGCCAGCATACTCACGGTCTTCTCTGCCTCCTCCAGGATCCACGCACATTCTCACCCCACAGAAACTGCTGGACACGCTGAAGAAACTGAATAAAACAGATGAAGAAATAAGCAGTTAAAAAAATTAAGCCACCCCTCCAAAACACACACCCTCTCCCCGAAGTGCTTGCAGCCCTGACCGCTGACCACCAGCCGCCTCGGTTACTTTGCTGCCCCTGCTCCCTCCACCGCCCCCAGCTCTGCACGCCCAGCCGGCACTGGCGCCATCCTCGTGTTGGATGATGCCCTCTTCTCGTTTGAAGCAAAAGAATGCATTGTGTTTTCTAAAAAGAGTATCTTCTATATGTATCCCAGAGGAGAAGCTCGGTGTAAGGGACCCACTGCTGGAGGGTTTCTGGAACTGCTTAGGACGAGTGGACACCTCCTCCCCGTTAGTCATGATTCCATGACCTTGTACATAGCCCAGTGTGACATGTGCACCTTGCTTGCATTTGGGAAGACAGACGTTTGGGTGTTCTAAAAAACCCATCTGGGGTTGTTCCCGTTCTTGCTGGGAATCACTGAGATGTCCGTTCTTGGAGTGTTTCAAACTGAGGATTAATCTGTTACCTTCAACTTCAGTTACTACCCCACAGCTGGCTCTCCTCCAGATAAGCTTACAAGTGAAGCTCAGGTGACATCATGTGAGATTTGAGCTCGAGCCAACCTATGTTTCCGCAGAGGCTTGTTCCCCCTGGGGCTGGGGCCGGGGGTGTCCCGGGGAATCAAGCTGGGTGCTGGCTGGCGTCCAACCTGTCACACTGCCTCCCTGGCCTGTGGCCACAGCTCTGTGATCTGAGGGAAGTTGTTCTGCCATCTGTCACTGTGCCTGGATGAGGAGGGGAGCAAGCTCCCGCTGATCTTTTGGAGAAGCGGTTAGACCTGGTCCTTCTGACCAGACCGCATCCTGCCCCAGGCATCACCCCCAGCCGAGCTCCTCCTCCTCAGCGGGCCAGCCTGGGTGGGCTCAAGGGCGGGAAGGGGCCAGAACAGAAAGGGTTCTGCAGGCTTCTGGTCTGTGCCCTGGGCTTCAAAGAAGAGTAGCCCTTTTCCCACTCAGATTCTCCTCAGTTTACCATACTTCATAATACTTTGTTTTGTGTAGTTTGGGGTCTTAAGTCGTCGTGCTTGTAAGAGAAAACCATCATTTTATTATTCTCTGTATAAAAACGTAGCTGTATAAAACTTAGCTCTAATGCAAAAATTAAAGAGCAAATGCAGGAAGGATGTCTCGTCATCCTCAGGACTCAGCAGCTCGTTCTCCGGTGGGGAGCACGCTCTTTGTTCTGCTGCTCTTGTCATGAACTATAAGGACAGTGGAAGTCACAAAAACGTCCCGCACCCAGCCCCCCCCCCGCCCCCTTTAACTCCCGCAGACTGTGTGTATATTACTGTCTCGTGACATCGTTGCAAACGTGGTGTGTGCTAGTTCTTCGCAGCCCCCACTTCCCTTTCAGATTATGCTCCTCACCCACCCAGTTAGATGCATCGTGGTGTTCTCCCCTCAAGGCTTTGAAATCTCCCCTATGCACTCAGATTAGTTTTCAGATCCGTGTCCCTTCTCCCCCTTATGAGCTCTTATTTCCTTAGGACAGACTGTAGGTACCTGCCTTCGTTTGTTTCTTCCTGTTACTGCTTGTTTTGTTCCCTGCCCTTGACCAAACAATGCTCATGCTTCAGGACCTTGTTTGTCCAGCCTGTTGGTTTTCCTTTCTCTGTTATTTATATAAAAATAATTTATCAAAAGAATATTTTAAAAAAAAGTTAGTCTGTCTTGAAACTTGTTTACCTTGAAATTATCAGAATCTCAGTGTTTGAAAGTATTGAAGCACAAACATGTATCATCTCTGTACCGTTCTGTACTAAAGCACTCAAGTCTAATAAATAAATAAATCAGCACCCATTCACGGTGTCCAGCGTGACTTGCAGTCTGGTTTTACTCGGGAGCGGAAGAAGAAAGGCTTCGTCGATGGGCCACTGCGGAGGAGTCCAGCCACCCCTGGCCATGGCTTGGAGCCTTCTGGCTCCAGGTCACCATTACTTGCATTAGGACCTAGAGCGATCTCACATTTGGAATGGATTCATGAAGTGTGTACTATGCTGCCTGAGACAAGGTATTTCTTTCATTGTCCTATTTCTCTTTATACGGAATTTCTCTCTATTCAGAGACAGCAGGAGATGGCGGGGCTCCATCTTTGCAGGTGGCTCCCTCTTCGAGCACATGAGGACAGTGCTCTTGGGGCAGTTGGTGAGGTCACTGTATCAGTGTTACTGCTCTCCTCCCCTGTTCCTGCTGCCACATCACCTAACCTTCTCGTGAACTTCTTTCCAGAAGCCTGTTTGTGCCCTGGGGCGACTGCGATGAGTTTGGCCCAGTTTGGGGAGTAGACACTTAAGTTAGGGTTTGGGTCACACTGCAAATCTGCCAGAATGAATACAGGGCACAGGGGAGGGGGGTTCTTTGCAGGACCTTCTGTTTCTACCCTTTGTCCCCCTCTCATTCAAATCCTGATCTCCTTCATAACGTTAAGAAATCCAACAAGTCAAGGTTGGTGGAAGGTGTGTCTCCACACCCAGGCTGTATCTTGTCTATTGGTGGGTGTGGAGATCAGAATTTTTAAATTCAAAATAATTCTAAACAGAGTTTACATTAAAACAAAGTCAATGCTGTCTTCTCCTTCTTCCCAGGGCCATCTGTCCCCTCCAGGCCCCTGCTAGTGGCTGATTAGCCCTTCCTCTCTCTGACTGTCTCTGACCTCCATTGACCCAGGGTCTCTGGCACCACTTTTCTGCCCCCAACACCACCACCCAATGGCAAACAAGCCTGGCTGTTTTTATGCTCCTGGCAGAAGTCCTGGTTCTTGTATTACACTGCACAAATGGAACCTACAGGCCATTCCTCCAAGAATGGTATTAGATGTTCTTGGAGGGGCCAGGTGTTCGGAAACAAGCCAAGGCATAGAGTAGTAACGGGGCAATCCTAAACCAGGACAGTCTGTGAGCTGCAGCCAGTCCCTCTGCCTTTCCAGAAGCCCAGGTCCAGGCTAGGGTGTCTCAACCAGACCCTGCTGTGGGGCCTGAACACCTACTCAGTGTGACACCAGGCAGTGATCTCTGGGAGGCAGAGTGACTAGTAGCACAGACCTTGGCATGAGGTAGGCCTGGGTCAGATCCGCATGACCTTGATGAAGGACCTGGTCCCCTCCTGTGAGTGATGCCCATGGAGGAGCAGTGCTGAGCTGGCCCACGGTAAGTGCAGGAAGCACTCAGTCATTGTTGTTGGGGATGATCATGATTCTCAGCCAAGTCTGGGGAAAAAGAATGAACACACTCACACTTGGGGAAAAAATGTCCATCAACTAGAGAACGGTGGAGAATTTGTTGTATATTCACCCAATGACTACTCTTAAGGCAGTTAAAAATGCATGACCTTCATATGTCAACATGAATAAACCTCAGACATTTAATCGAGTGAAAAGAGCAAGTTACAGAAAGGTATTTACAGAACGATGCATCTGTGTGAGGTTTTTAAACCTCATGTGATGCTTATGTATACATACATCATAAGTGCATAAAAATGTGAGGAGAATGATAAATACCAAAATCAAAATGGTAACTACCCATGAGGGGAGGATGGTTCTTATTCTCTTGCCTTCTGTCCCCGATTACAGAATGAATCAGTGGCTTAAAAGCACTTCACTGAATCAGAATAATATAGATAATAATTCTAATTGTAGTTAATATATGTTGAGCACTTACGTGCCAGGCATGAGTGTTTTATACCTATCTTGCTGAATCTTCTCAGCGACTCTAGGAGTTGGATGTTACCATTACCCCACTAACAGATGGGGAAACAAAGGCACAACAACAAAGTAACTCGGCCAAGGTCCCCTAGTTGGCACATGGCAGAGCCTAGATCTAAACACAGCAGTCTGACGCCAGGGCCCATGTTCTCCACTACCAAAAAAAATTATCAATACAAATAGACAGCAGGATTCCGGTGTGAATACAGAAAGGTGAATCTGTGTGGGCTGGACCTAATGATTCCTCAAGAATGATTATTTTACACAAGCAACTTCCTCCCCCCCAAAAATAAGAAGAGTGAGAATAAAGCATAGAACAATAAAAATTGGATTTCGCAGGCCAGCAAGCTACACCTTCCCAGTCCCCTGTACTTCACCTGTGATGTAGGAGAACTGTCAGAGAGGAGATGAACGCATTGATACATTTCAATCCATTTCAAACGAAGCATAGAGACCTCATCCATAAACCAAGCAAATTTCCCCAGTATCAATCACAGAAGAATACATTCTAGGGTGAAACCGATTAATTCCACCCCTAAAGGTGGGAAAGAAATCCCAAGTACAGACAGCAGAGTTACAGTCCTTGGAGTAAAAAGTGGCACCAGATATAATGTTGCCAAGAAGCTTGTAAAAACCAGCCGCTGTAACGTGGAGCTACCAGCCTCCTCTTAAATGCTCTCTACCAAGATCGCCATTGGTTTTGACAACGCTGTTACACATGGAGTTTTCAAAGCTCTGATCCAAATAGAGTCAGCTCTCTGAGGTGGAGCTGTGGACCTCTCCATCCTCATAGCCTGTCTTTCCCCAGAGCAGAACCCATGCACCATTTGCACCCAAGCTGGGAGCAGACCTACTTTCCCCACTCCCGGAGTGACCCCTGCTCAATAGCATACCCTCAGGTTTGTTGAAAGGGGCTTGTTATGAATAGCAAAATACTCCTCTCATTCAGGAAATTTCAAGGGTTTTAGGAGCTCTTGACAGAAACTCAGGGAAAAAGTAGATAGATAGATAGATAGATAGGTAGATAGATAGATAGATAGATAGATAGATAGATAGATAGATAGATAGATAAATAGATAGATAGAATCATTATATAATGTATTATTAGTAATAAAATATATCACAGCTGATAAGGAAGTGGGTCATTGCTCAAATACCACAGACTTAATTCTTGCAGAGATTTTGTACATTTTCTTAAACGAATGTTTTTGCATTTTCTGTATGCCTTAGAACAATTTCCAGACACCTTAAATGATTACTTCTTTAAAAAAAAATCTTCACCAATTATTCTTTTGCAGGGTAGAGGGCCCATTGAGCTCCTTACTGTGGCCATTCCAAACTTCTGCCCAGGCTGTCTTTCTGAGCACCTACTATGTGCGGGCCTTCATCCTAGGCTCAGGGGATGCAGCCATAAAAGAGACAGACTGGGTCCTCATGAGCTCACACTAGTGGTGGGTAGTATTGTATCACACACACACACACACACACACACACACACACACACACACCCTGGAATGAATGAATTTCTCATGTCGTGTGCTCCATAGAGGTGGGCAAGGCTTCAGGCATGTTTACTAATGCCTGGCCTCCCTGTCTCCCTCGGGGCTGGCCTTCCTTCCCTCCAGAGCCTCCTAGTGGCGATCACGAGCCACTGCCCTGGGCTGATGCTGCCGTCCGCTGGGCTGTGTGTGCTGCACCCTCTACTCTCAGAAGACCCGGCTGCCAGAGGGGCTGCTGGACTTCTGTGGTCTGGCAGTTCCAGCAGCTCCAGGCCACCAACACCAGTCCCCAAAGCAAGATACCGAAGGCGGTTGGAGAAGCAACAATGAGAAAGTGTCCCCAGGGAAGATGATGCCCTATGGCCCCAGAATAGGGAGATTTGGGGAGGATATCCAAACAAGCCCCAGAAAGGGATGTCCTAAGACTTGCGGCCTCCCCTCCCCTACCCCCACCACCTGGAAGGTGGGCCTGGAGGTCTAGCTGGCCACTCTCGCCATGTGAGTGCAGCACATTTATAAGCCTGGCCCACCCCCCAGGAGCGACCCTGGGAATTCAGGTCCCAAAACTGCTGCCTTCTGTGGGCTCCAGGCAGCCAGGGGGCGCTGCTGGCCATGCTGCCCCATCAGGCTGGGAATTCAGCGCTACCTCCTGAGATGGGCCTCAGGTAAAAGAAGGTAGAAACCTGGGAGGCATGAGGAAGGAGGGCAGGGAGGCGCACCGTGGAGAAGCTTTGAGTAGGCCAGGCTCCCATGGGGCCCCCCCACCTCCCTGCTCAAGTTGCGGAGGGGCAGCTTCCAGCTGGAGTAGGGGGAACATTGCACTGGGCTAGAGGGGCAGGACCGCCCCCCCACCGCTGGCTCGGGCACTGGGCCAGGTCAGTCTCTCTCTGGAGCTTCAGTGTCCCCCTGTCTGCATTCCTGGGCAGACAGACTCAACTGCACTGTTGTGAGTTTTGCCAAGGCTGAAGCTTGTAAGTGTGGGAGCCCCAGCCTGCAGGGAACAGATACTCTGGGAAAGACAAACACTATAGGCTGGAGGTATTAGGATGTTAGAAATCCCACTGGCTGCTCGACACACAGAGTCTTATTAAGCGCCCACTGCATCTCTGGGCCAGACGCCTGCACCGTATACTTTATACAAGATCATACTCAGTCCACAGCATGGTGTCTCTAGTTTACAGCCCAGTGAGGTCAGGCCACTGACCCAAGATGTAAGATGTCTCCTACACTGGATGTAAGAAACAGTGCCCAAACTCGAGCCCGTTTTAAACCAGCCCCAGGTGCTGAAGTAACAGTGAGCTGCCCCTTGTCCAGCCATCAGACTTTTAGGAAGGAACAGCAGCCATCTCTTAAGTGCTGAGACCTGGGACAACAGGGGTGAAGAGGACCTGGCCAATGTCTCAGAAAGTGCCTGGGCTCACAAGCACTGGGTGGACCCAGCAGACATACGGGCACAGCTGGAGGTGAGGACCAGGAGAAGGAGCACAAAGGAGCCAGAGCCTGGTTGGGGCACATGGATGCCAGCTAGGGCTTCTGCCAGCCAGCCACCTCCTGCCCTCCTGCCCCAGGATGCTGCCACCCGAGGCCAATGCTACAGAACGAGCTTTTGTTTGCTGGGGTCAGCATGGGGCAGATGGAGCTTTGTGGAAAATTGAACCTGTCTGTGAACAGGGATGTCTTGGGACCCCCTCATGGGAGCCTCCGATACAAAATGTCCATTTCTTGCCTTTCCATCCTGCTTTGGGAGAACCAAGAGAATGATTCTGTTATGTAGCTGCACCACCAAAGAATTAGCAAGCCAGGCTCAGAGGCTTCCAGGGAAGGGCTCCTTGGCCTGGGGTCCAGGTGACTGGCTCCTTCTGGTCCTGGGGAGCTCTGGAGAAGCTCTCCATCTCTGATCAGTACAAAGGGGCAGAGTGGTGATTTCTAGGGCTCTGACCTACTCTAATATTCTTATGTTACTTTTTGCCATTTGAGGAATGAAAGAGTCTCCCCAGAGCCCAGAAGAATGCCCCATGAGCCTGGTGTCCTGATCTCTGAGACACCATGGCCTGGGACACCCAGGCCTGGGGCCTCTGTGGTGCTGTCAGCCTTGGAGGGGGAGGCCGGTCTCCAAAGCCCAGCCTTGCCAGGAAGAGGGCAGCGTCCCTTTAAGTCCTGCTACACATCCTCAGCTTGTTGCTATGTAAGGGACCAACTTCCTTAGCAACCACCTGGCCTCATTAAAGGGGCCCTGAGCAGTAGTTGCCACCAGCCATGGCTCCCAAAAAGAAGGCAGGCAAGGGGGCCAAGGAGCCCGAAGTCAAGAAGAAAGGTGGCAAGAAGGATCTCAGCCTAGCTAAGCCCATGGAAAAGTCTTCAAGCGAGGAGATCCGGGAATTCTACCACATCCAGATCCGTGACCTGGAGGACAGGCTGGCCCGGTGGGTGGGCGGGCAGGGGGGCTGGTCCTGCTGGGTCAGAAGCCCAGCTTAGTGCTGGCTGGTCTGCAGCCTCAGACTCAGTGGGGCAGGTGGTGGCGGGTGGGGGGGGGTGCGGTCCTCACATAGGATATCCAGACCCCACCTCAGCCTCAGTTCCCTCATAGGTAACGTTGGGAGGTTTCACAATTTCAAGAAAAATGGATTTCCCCACCCCATCTCAGCT